CTGGGAAGGCAGAGCCACTTATTACGGACTCAAGAAGAAAGCCAGACTGGAGATTCCCGGGCAGAAGAGCACCATTAGTCTTAACACTGCTGTTTTGGCTGGCGCAGCGGGTTGCTCGGATTCCAGCACTGGGAATCAATAAATTGGACGTCCACTCAGAAACCTAATTAGAAAGGTGGTAATTGTAAAGATGACAGATGGATAAATGTAAAACAAAGGGAAGAAACCAGCCTAAAAAGGCCGAGAATACCCAAAATCAGAACCCCTCTCCCAATACAGGGGATTACAGTTCCTCATCAGCAACAGAACAAGCTCTGATGGAAAAGGACTGTGTTCCATTAACAGAAGTAGGCTTCAGAAGGTGGATGATAAGAAACTTCTGGGAGTTAAAAGAACTTGTTCTAACCCAATGTAAAGAAACTAAAAACTTTGAAAAAAGGTTTGACGAAATGCTAACAAGAATAGACAATATAGAGAGGAATAGAAATGAACTAACGGAGTTGAAAAACATGACACGAGAACTTAGCAAAATATGCACAAGTTCGAATAGCCGAATTGATCAAGCAGAAGAAAGGATATCAGAGGTCGAAGACCTACTTAATGAAATAAAACGAGAAGACAAGAATAGAGAAAAAAGGATAAAAAGGAAGGAGCAAAGTCTCTAAGAAATATGGGACTATGTGAAAAGATCTAATTTACGTTTGATAGGTGTACCTGAATGTGACAGAGAGAATGAATCCAAGTTGGAAAATACTCTTCAGGATATTATTCAGGAAAACTTTCTCAATCTAGCAAAGCAGGACAATATTCAACCCCAGGTAATACAGAGACACAAAGATATTCCTCAAGAAGAGCAACTCCAAGGCACATAATCGTTAGATTCACCAGGGTTGAAACGAAGGAGAAAATACTAAGGGCAGCCAGAGAGAAAGGTCAGGTTACCCACAAAGGCAAGCCTATCAGACTTACAGCAGATCTCTCAGCAGAAACTCTACAAGCCAGAATAGAGTGGGGGCCAATATTCAACATCCTTAAGGAACAGAACTTTCAGCCCAGAATTTCATATCCTGCCAAACTAAGCTTCACAATTGAAGGAAAAATAAAATCTTTTATGAACAAGCAAGTACTCAGAGATTTTATTATCACCAGGCCTGCTTTACAAGAACTTCTGAAAGAAGCATTACACATAGAAAGGAACAACCAGTATTAGCCTTTCTAAAAATATACCAAAAAGTAAAGAGCATCAACATAAAGAAGAATTTACATCAACAAATGGATAAAATAGCCATTTAACATCAAATGGCAGTAACCCTAAATTTAAATCGACTGAATCCCCCAATCAAAAGATACAGCCAAAACCTAACGATATGCTACATCCAGACCCATTTCACATCCAAAGATACACCAAGACTCAAAACAAAGGGATGGAGAAAGATTTGCCAACCAAATGGAGAGCAAAAATAAATAAATAAAAATGCAGGAGTTGCAATTCTCACATCTGATAAAATAGATTTTAAAGCAACAAAGATATGGTGGTAAAAGGATCAATGCAACGATAAGAGCTAACGATCCTAATACCCAGATACATGAGACCAATAAAGAGATTTTGACTCTACGAGATTGAAAATTAATAAGGATATCCAGGACTTGAACTCAGATCCGGAACAAGTAAACTTAATAAATATTTATAGAGGTCTCCACTTTAAATACACAAAATATCGATTGGCCATTATTAATACCCATTTTTAGAATAAAGCAGTATTCCCATTCTCCCTCTTTTTCTTCCTCTTTCTTCCTCTCCTTCACTCCTTTTTGTTTCTTTCTTAACTTCAAAAAAAAAGAGATTATGTCTTAAGTTAACTTGTATTTCTGTTTGAAAAAAAAGATGGAGTCTTGTTTTGTCACCGAGGCTGGAATGGCACTGCAGCCTTCACATCCCCAGTTCAAGCGATTCTCCTGCCTCAGCCTCCCAAGTAGTTGGGACTACAGGTGCATGCCACCATGCCCGGCTCATTTTTGTATTTTCACTAGAGACAGGGTTTCACCATATTGGTCAGGCTGGTCTTGAACTCCTGACCTCAAGTGATCGGCCTGCCTCAGCCTCCCAAAACGTTGGGATTACAGACATGAGACATTAGCTTGTTTTAAAGGAGACATAATTTCCATGGAAACATCAGCATGTTTCAAGTACTGACAGCTTGCAGGTGTCTTTGTAGTGAAGTTTAGAAACCTGCTGTGACCATTCTTCATTCTAAAGTTGTGACTGAGAACTCAGATATTGGTGCCTTCAACCCCAAGTGCTGCTGATGGATTTGAATGGCATTGAGGTTGCCAGGCCTGGAGGAGGGCTGCCTTGTGTTGAGTGGTTCAATCAACCCCCTGAAAAGTCAGTGTTCAAGTACTTCCATAGGATCCTCCTTTCCTACTCCCATAACCACCTACCTTTGATAAATCTTGACAAAACAAGTATGCAATTCAAATAGAGGAAAGAATATAATTGAGTAGAGCAACAGCTTTTCTTTCTAGCAACCCTGACTTCCAGGTTATCAGGACAGTATACCTCATTTTATTCTTTTTTTTTTAGTGTTGTTTCTGCTCCCCAAGTACACACACTTTTTACATTTACCTTATTTAAATATCCCCTTTGCAAAAACGGTGGATTTGTGTTAAAAAAAAGGATAGCGTTTTAGGTCCTGTGTGGATCTCTTTAGTGTTGATTCCTACCAGTTAACTCATTTGGAATGACACCTCTATGCGCCACTGTCATGCACGTTAGGATTGTGACATACTTTAATCATGCCACTGCTGCGTCTTGAAGCTTGTCTCCGGTATCCTGGAGAAACTAGTCGTGGCTCCTGAATAAGAGATTAGCATTTTTCCCGAGTGAGCCAAGTCTTTGTTTACTTGTTTATCTTGTATCCTGCAACCTGGAATATACACTCCAGGAGGGCAGGGCCTCTTCGTCTGTTTTGTTCATGGCTGTACTCTCCTGTGCCTCCCGCAGTACGTACTTAAGAAATACCTGTGAAACACATGCATAGAGGGTAATGAAGGGCAAGGGAAACAAGGCTTTACTGATGATTTCTCTCTGTGCCCACTAATACTTGGGTTATTTTCTCATGTCCTTGAACCGTCCTGACTCTAGGAGATAACCCTTCCCATGTTCTTGAAGAAGCTGAGTCGAGGATTAACACCCCAAGGGTGTCACCCAAAGGCTGGGCCCCTGGGTACCCCAGCCTGTTGTTCAGGTCTGTAGCCGCCTAGTGGCCATCAGACCTTCCAGGTCTCCCTGCTTTTGAAGGCCTATGTATGCGATTTGGTTTCTTGGCAGGTGGGTCTGATGGGTTCCCAGACCTAGGAGTTCTTGGCATCTTGTCTTCCAGTGACCCCAGCAGGGCTGCTATGGCTCCTCCATTGCTGGAACTAGTTCAGAGTCATGGAAGACAGGCATGTTGTGGGCGGCCTGGTGGTTGGTTTTGTGCTGAGTCATTGTCTTGGTGCACTGTGGAAGGGAGCTGTGGGAAGTGGACGGCTCCTTCTGTGAGGGAGTGCTTCTGCCCTCAAGGGAGTACTGCATAGGGTAGATAACACTGTTTGATAGATAAATATGGTGGTCTTGCCCCTAGGCACTCCATGACTCCTGTGGGCCTAGCCTAAGCAGTTCTCATTTAACTTGTTGTCCCTCCTTTTACTAATACTGTTGAGTTAAATAACAGTGTTTGCATTTAAAATTAAATTTTTTTTTTTAAATTTTGGTAGAGATATGCGATCTTGCTATGTTGCTCAGGCTGGCCTCAAGCTCCTGGCTTCAAGTGGTCCTCTGGCCTCAGCCTCTCAAAGTGGGATTACAGGCATGAACCACTGGCCTGGCCTTTATTTTTGCATTTTGCAAGGACATTTAAGTCACTTCCTTCTTTGTTTTTACTCTTGCTGAGGAGATGATCCTCATTTTACAAAATGAACGAAACATTCGTCAAGGGAAGAGCAGACATTGGGGATAATTGTTTTCACAGAACTGGCAAACTACCTCCTTTGTCCCAACTATACTGCTTGGTGCATTAGCAATTACTCACTGTCTGCTTTGCCGGAGGTTTGGACAATGAGTGTTAATGCTTGGTGTGGTGAATTTTGTGTAATTTGGAATCTGATGGTTGACTCATTGCACAGCCCTGTCTTGCAGGTTGAGATCTAAACTGTAGCTATACAAGGTAAAAGCAGAAGTGGAGCTGCCTTTCATGCCATTGCATGAGTTTTTTAATAAAATAGTTAAAAGTCCTTTGGCTTCAGCATTTTGGTGTGATTGGAAAGGCTATTGCTATCTTATATTCAGCATGAATTTTGAGCAATTACTGATTGATATGGTTTGGCTGTGTCTCCACCCACATCTCATCTTGAATTGTAGTTCCCATAATCCTATATGTCATGGGAGGGGCCTGGTGGGAGGTAATTGAATCATGAGGGCAGTTAACCCTCATGCTGTTCTCGTAATCATGAGTGAGTTCTCACCGGATCCAAGTGTTTTAAGGGGCTTTTCCCCCTTTTGCTCTGCACATCTCCTTGCTGAAAAAGGACACGTTTGCTTCCCCTTCTGCCATGATTGTAAGTTTCCTGAGGCCTCCCCAGCCAGCCTGAACTATGAGTCAAACCTCTTTTATAAATTACCCAGTCTTGAGTATGTCTTTATTAGCAGTATGAGAACAGACTAATACACTGATCTGAGTTGATATTCTTAAATTAATGGTAGGATTTTTTTTTATTTTAATGATCTTTGAGTCCTGAGGTGGCTTCAGAGTGGATTTAACAAGAGACAGATGGTGTTAGTAGTTTCTGCCCTGGCTTCTTTGCAACTTAACATACTTGAATTTTAGTGTTTTTGGCTAAGGAAAGTGTATCTTCTAGTTCGTGGTAGTTTTAAGCAAATGTGGCTTGAGTAAAACTAGAGAGGAGTTTAATTATTGGTAAATCAATGACAGTGACAAGTTGTTTTTCTTCCTTTCCAGTTATACATGGGAAGCTGTTGATACCAAAAATAATGTTCTTTATAAAATCAACATCTGTGGAAGTATGGATATTGCCCAGTGTGGGTCATCAAGTGCTGTTTGTATGCATGACCTGAAGACAGACAACTTTCATTCAGTGGGTAAGTAAAACTACCCTTAACTTACTGGATTGGCAATATAATTCCCCAATTTTGCAAAAATGACTGTGTCTAGCTATATGTATATACCTATACAAAAATCATAAATGTTTAGAAATTGTAAATGTTTATAATACATAATACACATTTTTTTAGTGGTTAAAAATGATAACAATTTGAATGTGTAGTATGAGCTAAAAGTAGGTTAGCTCTGTCTAGTGGATTCTGTGCAGGCAGTCATTATGAAGAATTATGTAGATGTGTATTTGATATTGAAAGATGTTTCTTAGATGACTCTCCCTTCTCACATTTTTCTTAAACCCTGTTTTTACATTCCCTCCCAGCCCTGCATTTCCTTTAGTGCTCCCCCCACTCCCACTCCTTTGTACTTTCCAGTTTTTGCTGTGGTTCCAAACACAGCGTGTCTGCATAGTCCAAGATAGTCACTGGCGTTAGGCTTACATTAAAGGGTTAAATAGTCCTGAGGATTGGCAGCCTCAGAGAAAAAGGTGCAGCCCCTTCTTTCCTAGGTTTCATTTAGTTTCCTCAAATGTGTACCTTTTGGGTCAGGATCGCTTGCCTTCTGTGAAGAATTTGAGTCCAAGTGGATTGATAGCACCAGGTTACATGGAGTGGGGTCAGCGAAGCTGCCAGAAGGAGGGGATGCAGGGCAGACAGAAAAGCAGAACGCATTGCCCTTGGGTTTGGCAACATGGATGTCTGTGGTGACCTTTCACTAAGGCAGTTGGAATAATGCGATTTGACCACAGTGGATGCTCATGACATGGAGATGATATGACTGGGGACTGTCTGGTAACTAGAAGAGGATGCTAGCTAGGCTTTTGAGTTTGTGAGGGAAGCTTATTGTGGTAGTTCTCTCTGTCATTTTGATTTGTGTTTTAGAAATTTTTATGTTTTTATAGATTTGGCAGTTCATGTACAGTTTTGTTACGTGGATATATTGCTTAGTCGTAAATCTGAGTTTTTAGTCACCCAGATAATGCACCTTGTACTCAGTAGGTAATTTCTAATTCCTCACTCCCGAACCGTTCTGAGTCTCCAGTATCTATTATTCCACTGTCCCTGTCCATATGTATATATTATTTAGTTCGTACTAATAAATGAGAACATGGTATTTGATGTTCTCTTTCTGAGTTATTTCACTTAGATAATGGTCTGTTGTTCAATTCATGTTGCTGCAAAACATGTGATTTGATTCTTTTTTATGGCCAAGACGTGGAATTCGGCCATAAAAAAGAATGAAATGGCAAAGATATCCCCCCCCACACCCACACACACATTTTTGTTACCCAGTCATCCATTGATGGACACTTAGGTTTATTCCATGTCTTTGCAATTTTGAATAGTGCTGTGATCAACATATGAGTGCAGGTGTCTTTCTGATGTGACTGTTTTTCCTTCAGGTGTATAGTCAGTAGTGGGATTGATTGCTGGATGGAATGGTAGTTTTGTTTTTAGTTCTTTGGTAGATCTCTATACTGTTCTCCATAGAGGATGTCCTAATTTACATTCCCACCAACAGTGTCTAAGTGTTCCCATTTTTCTCCATTCTTGCCAACATCTTTTGCTTTTTGACTTTTTAATGATTGCCATTTCAGTGGGTATAAGTCGGGATCTCATGGAGGTTTTAATTTGCATTTCTCTGATGATTAGTGACCTGGAACATTTTTACATATGCTTGTTGGCCATTTGTATGTCTTTAGAGAAATGTTGGTTTATGTCCTTTGCCCTCTTTTTAAAGGGGTTCTTTTTTTCTTACTGAATTGTTTGAGTTCCTTGTAGATTCTAGATGTTAGCCCTTTGTCAGATGCACAGTTGGCAAATATTTTCACCCATTCTGTAGGTTTTCTGTTTGCTCTGCTATGCAGAAGCTGTTTAGGTTAATTAAATCTTATTCGTCTATTTCTGTTTTGTTGCATTTGCTTTTGAGGTTTTAGTTATGAAATCTTTGTCTAGGCCAGTGTCCAGGAGAGTGTTTCCTGGGTTTTTTCCTAGAATATTCATAGTTTCAGATCTTATGTTTAAGTCTCCAAGTTTTGTATATGGTGAGAGATATGGATCTAGTTTCATCCTGCATATAGCTGCCCAGTTTTCGCAGCACCATTTATTGAATAGGGTATCCCTTCCCCAGTGTTATGTTTTTGTCAACTTTGTCAAAGATTAATTGGTTTCAAGTATGTGGCGTTGACTCTGGATTCACTATTCTTCTGTTCCATTGATCTTCGCACCTGTTTTTATATCAGTACCATGCTGTTTGATTACTATAGCCTTCAGAATAATTTGAAGTCAAGTAACATGGTGCCTCCAGCTTTGCCCTTTTCATTTAGTATTGCTTTTACTATTCAGGCTCTGGATATTTATATGGCTCCATATGAATTTTAGGATTGTTTTTCTAATTCTGTGAAAAATGACACTGGTACTTTGACAAGAATTGCATTTTATCTGCAGATTGCTTTGGGCAGTACGGTCATGTTAACAATACTAAATCTTCTAGGCCATGATTTTCGCATCTGTATTCATTAGGGATATTGGCCTGCAGTTTTCCTTTTTTGTGTGTCCTTGCCTCTCTTTGGTATCAAGGTGTTACTGGCTTCATAGAGCAAGTTAGGGAGGATTCCCTCCTCCTTGATCTTTTTTTCTTTCTTTCAGGGAACAGTTTCAGTGGGATTGGTACCAGTTCTTTATGCCTTTGGTGGAATTTGGCTGTGAATCTGTCTGGCCCTGTGCTTTTTCTTGGGATATTTTAAAATTACTTGTTAAATCTCACTGCTTTTTATTGGACTTTTCAGGATTTCTGTTTTTTCCAATTCAATATTGGGAGGTTTTATGTTTCCAAGAATATATTCCAGTTTTGGAATGTAGAGATGTTTATAGTAGCCTGTGATGATCTTTTGTCTCTCTGTAGTATCAGTTGTAATGTCTGCTTTCATTTGTGAATGTGTTTATCTGAATTGTTTCTCTTTTTTTTTTTTGAGTAGTGGTTAATCTGAGTAGTGGTCCATTAATTTTATCTTTTCAAAGAACTGACTTTGTTTTATTGATTCGTCGCTTTTTTTTTTGGTCTCAGTTTCATTTAGTTCTGCTCTGATCCTTGTTGTTTTCTTCTGTGAGGTTTCAGTTTGGTTTGTTCTTTTTTTTCTAGTGCCTTGAGGGTTACATTAGGTCATTAATTTGTGATCTTTCTTTTTTACGTAGGCATTTAGTGCTATAAATTTCCCTCTTCCCGCTGCTCTGCTGTATTCCAGAGGTTTTGGTCTATGGTGTCTCCGTTTATATTCATTCCAAAAATATTTTATATTTTCATCCTAACTCTGTCATTGACCCAATGGTTATTCAGGTGCAGGTTGCTTAATGTTCATGTGTTTGCGTAATTTTGAGAGCGCCTCTTGGAATTGATTTCTAGTTTTGTTCCTCCGTCATCTGGGAAGATAGTTGATATGATTTCAGTTTTAAAAAAATGTATTGAGACTTGTTTTGTGGCCTAACATATGGTGTATCCTGGAGAGTGTTCCATGCACTAAGAGGAATGTATATCCTGTGGTTGTTGAGTAGAATGTTCTTTAAATGTCTTTTAGGCCCATCTAATCCTAAAAGTTCAGTGTTTTATTGTTGATTTTCCGTCTCGATCTTTCTAGTGGTATCAGTGAAGTGTTGAAGTCTCTCATTATTATTATATTGCTGTCTGCCTCTTCTTAGGTCTAGTGGTAATTATTTTATGAATCTGAGTATTTTGGTGTGCATTTATATTTAGGATGGTTATATCTTGTTGAATTGATCTCTTTATCATTATTTAATGGTCTTTTTTAACAACGATTATTGATTTAGAAGGGTATTTTATCTCAGTATTGCTTCTCCTGCTCACTTTTGGTTTCTTTTTGCATAGACTTTCTTTTACTACCTCTTTACCTGGAGTCCTTGTTTTTATCAGTTAAGTAATTTTCTATGAACAACATATGGTTGTATCTTTTTTTTAAAAAAATCTACAGTTCACCAATCTGTATCTTTTATGTAAAGGATTTAATCTATTTATGTTCAAAGTTAATATTGATATGTGAGATTTTGTTCCTGTCATAGTGTTGTTAACTAGTTGCTTTTTAGTGCCAATTGTGTAATTGTTTTATGAGATCTGTGAGTTTCATACCTTTTGTCTGACTGGGTTAATTCAAACCCGTCTTTAAGCTCTTAGATTCTCTTTTCTGCTTGTCTAATCTGCTGTTAAAGCATTCAGCTGTATTTTGTAATTTCTACAATGAATTTTTCATTTCTAGAAGTTCTGTCTGGTTTTCTAAAAAATAACTACTTCTAGTAAAATTTTAATTTAGATCCTGTGTTGTTGTTCTGATTTCTTTGCATGGGTTTTCCACTTTCTCTTAGATCATATTGAGATTATCTAAAATCAGTATTTTGTATTCTTTATCTGGTATTTCAAGGGTTTCATTTTGATTAGGATCTACTGCTACAGAGTTAGTGTGAACCTTTGGGGATGTTGCAGCGCTTTCTTTGTTTTTTTTTTTTTAAATGCTTCTAGAGTTGTTACTCTGCTTCCTTCCCATCTGGATAAGCTATCTCTTTTATTTTTGAATCTACTTTAGCTTGGCAGAATTTTTTTTCCCTTGAGAATGTGGATATAATGTATGTTGTATTTGGTTGTTTGACTTCAGTTCTGGGTGCTTTCAGTGGCAAAGACTGAGTTTCTTGGTTATAGACGGCCTGTTTGTGATAGCTTTCTCAAATGCTTGTCACAGTAGTGATGTGCTGGGTGTGTGGGCAGGCTCCTCACTGTCTCCCGCTGGCCTGGAATGCAGACTTCTCAGGAAGTTCATCTTGTTCTCTGTTGATTTGCACTTGTGGCAGCCGAATTCATGTCGGGTTGTGCAGGACAGCAGATGATATTTATGGGTAAAAGCCAGCTGCAGTGGAATTCGATGGATCTATGCGTGACCTTTGTTTATGGATGAAGCTCTGCTGCTTTCAGGCAGTAG